GCAGGAAACATGACTCAGTATTAAGGAATGAAACTATAGCTCACACAGTTATAAGGGGGAATGGAAGCCCAACAAGAGTTTCCACTATTGAACAAAGGAAAAGAAAAATAGGTAATCATTTCCTTATACCATAGACCATTGTTGCTTAGAAGTTGCATCATGTGTATGATCGTTGCCATTTTTGGTTTTAGTGTTCTTCATGTAGTTTTGCTCACACATACTTATAAGTGAAAAGCCTGTGCATGGAGGGACAAGGGTATCCATAATTGGAAAAAAAGATGGTTAAAAACCTTTTAACAGCAAAGATACCCACAGAAGGCAAAGTAGCTCTGGGTTGGAGTCACTCACAGGAGATGTTACGCTGCCCTTTAAAGGAGTTGACAACTTTGCTGCTTTGTCTACAATACTAGCCTGTAATTCGAGTGAGTAAACTCCAGTTTTTCCATTTTGTCAAGCCCTTAAGCCAGTTTGACACTTTTGGAAACTAGCTGAGTGCTCTCAAACCCAGACTACCTTACAGCAATAAAGTAACTTCCCATCACAAATTTGCCCTTTCCCATACACGGCACCAGACGCGTGCCAGTGAGTACCAATATAATGAAGTCGCCACGAGCCACTCCTGTTCTGTCAAGTCACTGCTTTGAGCTGAGCTCAGCCTTTCTGTGCATAAAGTAGAGACTACTGCCAGAACACTTTTTTTGGAGAGGGGAAGAGGACAGGCAAAACAAACTGTCAAAAGCTATTGCAAAATCTGATACAATTCCTACTTAAAATGAACGTGTCACTTGAGTGACAGCTTTTGCATTAATTCTGTTCACCCAAAGGGAGCAGGGTGCAAGAAGATACAGCCAGTAGACTCACCTTGCTCTAAATCCACCACAGGTTCCTGTCAAGATTTATCTAAATCATTAAAAATTTGTTTTTCCTGATAAACCTCTTTCACACATTGTCCAATGTTTATGCTTTAATAGTATAAAAGCAATTATATGAAATAAAAGTAAAAATAGGATAAGCAATCTATCAATCCAAGTCACACACACAAACCTAAAAATCCATTACATTACACTTCTCAGATGTGTTCCCATGTGAAATGACAGGTTTAAAATAACAAGTTCAAGTTCAAGTGCTAAAAAAATAAGTCAAGACATCAGCCAGATGCTTCAGCAAGCCTGTAGAAATACAGTTTTAAATAATCAAACTTACCAGTTCGTTGCTTGTAGATGTACATCTCAGCTTTTCTTCAATCTCCCTTCCTATCTTCTGAACAGTTACCTGAGTCTGTTTAATTGCACACTGGGCTCTGTGCAGCCTGTAAGAAGAGAAGTTACAGCTGTACTAAAGGTTCCCCACACGTCTCCTAACAATGAACACGCCAGCTGTCTCCAGCAGCAGTAATATGAATTCAGATTGTCAGCTTCTATTTTGAAATACAACATTAAAAGAGGAATCATAACTTGCACAGTTTATAAATGAGTAGCCAAAGCAAACCAGCAAGTCTCTAAATTCGATCAAGTACCAAACGTTCTTCTCACTTGTTAAATTCAATAGATGTTGATAAGGCAAAGCTGTAAGTGAGAGAGCAGGTAAGCATCGGGATCTCTTGTAACAATTAAGTTATAACACTGTCAACATCAAGACACATACACACGACAGCTACCGTGAGCATTGTTAACACAGGCCAGCTTTAAAAAGTGCAGGTATCTTTTAGATAACACACAGCCACCCAAGCCAAGAGCACGAACCACCCTTTAGTAATCTCCAAATATGCTATGAGTCCATCTGTAACAAAAACCTGAGATTCTTAACTGAATCATCTTTGAAGCATGAAAAGATGATGATGTGTTTCTGATCATTAGCCCTGGCTTCAGGGTGAAGAGGGAAAACTGATTATTTGCCATATTTATTGAAGAAAAGAAAAAAATCAGGTAGAGGAAAACAATGGCAAAAGCAGGTTGAAGAGAGGCATTAACATCTTTCTTAAAATTAACATGGAGCAGAAATTAACATATTTAGTAGGAAAAAAAGAGAGAGTTGGTCTGCAGACATAGACTATGTCTTTTAAGGCATACAAACCCAAGCTTACTTTTCCCATTCCCAGTTTCACTACTAACGGCTTCTTCTTTTGTAAAGATATTCTCCAGGCAGCCTTGCTGCTGGAACAAGCACTTAACTAAGGACTAGTCAGAACAGCAAAAACATGGTCAGATAACCTACAGCATGACGTTAGTGCTTTGCCAGGCAAACATAACAAAAAGACCGAGCCTGTTTCAATGCATGTTTTAACAATCATCTCCATTTCACCAGAGTTAAAAATCTCTGCCTCTTCATAGCAATGCTTAATTTTACTAAAGCAAGACTACGAATTTGCTGTCAGCCAAGGACCAAAGCACTGGAGCACCAGAAGAGGTTACTCAGCTCCTTTTTACGTTCTCTAATCTCTTCCAGATTTATAAGTAATTGAGGCATTGCTATTTAAAGTTTTTTTGCTAACGTTTTTTAATGGTCTGTATGCAGCTAGACCAAGACAACCAGGCTACGTGCTTCATATACGAGTAACCACAAAGCATTATGTCCTCACACCATCTCCCCTCAGCATCCCGTCTCACCTCAACAGCATACATTACATATCGGTTAATTAGTCCAAGGACAGCACCTAAACCACCTAGCCCACCAAAAAAATACACAGAGAGGAGATTACACACAGACAACAGGGAACAGCAGTGCTAGTAATATTAAATAAGGTCATTGCCATTTAGGACTCTTCTACAAGTATTCATTTAGTTATAGCATGGAAGTCAGACTGCTTTAGCTCCACACTATTGCTTCTCCTAAATGATGTTCTCTGTAACAGATTTTTGTTTGAAGCTATACTAAGTGATTCCTTTTGTTTCTTTAGGGCTCCTCAGACTGTTCATACCACACACAGCCTGCGAGCTTTTTGGGGGTAGCTGTACCCCATCTAAATCATCAATCAAGCAGCACGGCTCTGCTGGCTGCCAAAGGCTTCAGGGGTGGAAAAAGACTGCTGAGGCCAGCAGCGCTGGGTCCTGGGTCACCCAAGGGCTCAGTCTCACTTCCCTAATGGAGTACCGAGACCTCCTGGAAACACTTATTTCCTACTGGGAACTACTACTTGTAACTCCCACCTTCCCGAATACATCTTGAGGCTGTTGGCTAGGTAACATACACTCACGCAGGTCACAGCTGAGGTTTGCTGACCATCCTGAATGTCGTTTAGATCTCTACTGTCATACTGCACACAGCTGGGGCTAAGTTTCCTATTTCAACAGTTTCCAGCCTGTCCCTTTCCAAAACGGTGGAACATTTTCTTTCCAGACATAAGAACGCCTTACCCAAGGCTAAAACTTATAGGTAAGGAGTAATAACAGAGTGACACTTCCCGTTCCCTTTCTCTCACCTTCATCTAATTTTATACTGGAAGAACATTCCTAATTTAGTCTGTTAGTGGATTAAAAAAAGACATTTTGTACAAGTCTTCACATCACACCATGTAGGGAGCAAAATCTGACCGCTGAAAAGTGTTTTACTCTTCGAAAAAGTATTTATAAAACTCATCATCTGTTAGAAGGGTCATTTGCCATGTGAGTTCCTCACAGGGATACTCAGATAACAACCTACAAATTTTATAACAGCTTCAAGTTCTTCTGCCTGTGCCCAAGGATAAGGAACAAACATCTATTTAGTCTGACTTCTCAAACCAGTATGCACTTTAGGATACTTATTCACTTCGGTGAATCTATACCCAAAAGTATATTCCTAACCTATAAAGACTGCTATACAGAATAATTCAGCAATCAAGTCCATTTTTAATAAAAAATGGTTTTCTTTTTAAGCCAAACATCATCCAGGCATTTCTTGCAATATAAAAAAACCCCAACCCTGCAGTTAAACTGGGCTGCCTTGAGGCCAAATAGTGCCATTTACATTGAGCCAACCAGTATCACTAAGTTTTCTTTCTTGCAATCCCAGTACATTCACTGCTGTTCCGAGAAGTTTACAATGGTAACAGTATGATCATGACCACATCCGAAGTTAAGCCTTCCAAGATAAAAATTTTAGGGACTTCACATCACAAAAGCAGCAACTATCAACAAATATCTCCCTTCCCCAGCCAAAAAAGCCCCCACTGCACCCACATGGAATTCTTTGGTCATCCAACAACAGGAACGCAAACTAAGCCATAAGAACATCAGCATGAGAATTGTGTCCATCATTTCTGCATGCACAAGACAGATTTTTATGGTTGCACCGATGAATGGAGATCAGCAAGTTGAGGTCATAAATCTGGATTAAAATTTGTATATAATGAATGGAGAGAAATTTCAAGGCTAATTGACCACGTATTGTTTCCATTTCTGGTTTGAATGCAAGTCCAACGCTACGGCCTAAAGTTAGCACAATTTGTGCTTTGAGTACAGTCTGCCTTGGTTTAGTAATTGACAACAATGAGCCAACTGATGGCATAATTTATGTGCTATAAGCCAACACTGGATTCTTCCTAGATTGTTCAAGAAGGGTTTTTTTAATTATTATTTATTATCAAAATTAGCACTTCCATAGCACTTAAAGAGCTAATTCAGGGCTTCAAGAGACCACTGGCCTGCTACCAAATTTCCTTCAGCAGTCAGAAAAGCCAAGCCAGTTAGAGCAGAAACTCAAGCCTTTTTAAAGGGATAGCTTAGCCAACAGTGTCGTCATCCTGTGTCCGCAGGCTGTTCTGGTGTCTCTGCAGCAGCTCACAGCCATTGTCAGCCAGCAGCAGAGTAATACAAATGCTGTGACAGATTTACTGTTGCTGCTTGGGGCCCTGAGAGCTGCCGTGCAATTGTCCAACATCAGGTGAGTCGCATGCTGCTGCCTGGGAAAGAACTGAAAAGCAAAGCAGACACTGAAATTCTTTACCACCCTAATATAGTTTAGATGCGGTGATCCATGAAGCTGCTGTTCTACTCCCATTCTCTTATCACCTGTTTTCTGAGATGGGGGAGACTAAGAGGAAACAAAATACTTTCCCTTCATTTAGAAGTTTAAAAGACAGTGGGATAGACACAAAACTGTTAGCCATGTACTGTAAGCGAAGACCAACAAAAGCTGCATCCCTAACCAGTCTAGGAAGAACCAGCAGGCAAAAATTCAGCATATCTCCTCTGCTCTTGCTAGTTCCCAAGTTGCTGAAATACAGACTATTCAGGGTAATTCTTTGAGGGTTTTCAAGTCTGAAATAAAATTGTATCCTCTTCTCCCCAAAAAAACCCTACTTTCTACTTTGGCTGTAAGATCTGAAACAATTCTAGCATACAATGTTCAGCTGATCAATTCAGTGTGGGTACTGACTTAAAAGAAAAAAAAGATTTGCCAAGTTTTGGACCTCTTCACCATTACAGGATTTCTTTGCAATAACATCCTTGTCTTTTTTTTGCAAGATCAAGCAGTTTTCCTGACATCCCAAAGACTGCACAATGCAGTGGACCAACATAACCTGACTTTACAACTTGGGAATGTGCTGCAGCAACACATTTGCTCTCTTTCAGCCTGCAGTACATTTGAGGCAATGTTTGGAGGTTCAGCTGAAACACTTTAAGACACATTGCAGTATCTTGCAACTGAGAGATCCTCTTGGTCGTGAATTTGTTCAGTGATTTACTAGTTTATATAGCAAGTTCAATCCTGGTTGCAATCTCCAAAAGAATGAAAGCTGGAGTGTAGTGACAGTTGAGCCTATTAAACTAACATACGTTTATATTTACATTAATGAAAGAGCCTCAACTTTATTAGGCATTTGATACACTATTTTGTAGTTCTATCATATACTCCAAATATCTATGTGCTTCTATTAGACACATCTGGATTTTTCATGTACAGAACTTTAAGCCATAAATACATCAATTAATTACCGCAGTCACATAATACAGCTACTTCTCATAAGAGAAATAAGTGCCTATGGTCTTATTTGCCAGAACAATCTTGGTTTACAATGAGGCTAAATTTAAACTGAGAATTACTACCAGGGACTTAGAAAACAGAACAGAACACTTCTGGCACTGAGATGTAGGATCATGGAAGTAAAATACCCAAACCTACTGTTAAAGAAAAAAAATAATCCAAGACTTTCCTATTAAATACAAAAAAATGGAACACACACTACTTTATATCAGTCCAGAAATTAGATTATGGAGAGTGCCAGCCAGCTATAACATTTTCTACATGGCCCCTTAAACCATCATTTGCTACATCTGCTTTCCCACAAGAAAAATTTTTCTAATTTATAATCATATACTCACTTTCCCA